GCCAGCGTCCAGGGGCATGCCTCCCCTGTCCCCCCCCAGCCCCTCCCCCTGTCACTATGCTACTGATTGTGCCTCCTCACTATCAATATTCACCAGTTGCCACGGAAAAGGAAAAGGAAATCTAAGACAGACATACTCGCCCATGTATCCCTTTGAGGTGGAATGGAAGGAGACTAGTTCTACATTGTTGTAATACTCTGGTCCCATCTCATACAGAATCTTTTTGAAGGAATGGAACTGACATCCCTCGGAGTACACATTATCCTGATAAACCTACACAAGAAGACACAATATAGTCTGTCTCCAACAGAATAAATAGCTAGCACATTGCACAGAATGCAAATCACTCGGAAAGTCTGGAACGTTCTACAGGTTGAAACAATACATTTTAGGAGCCAGAATTATATCTCCTATAACTTAAAATCACAGTGATCAAAATTTGATATTTTGCACTATACTTAATAGATTAGCCTGTGTAAGAAGGGTGAGCTTTGGTCTTTTATATCTTTTAAAAAATTTCTCCACAAATACTTTTTTTTAAATTATTTGAAATAAGGCTGCTCATCTGCCCAGCAGGACTTTCCACAGGATATGGCCCACAGACTGACCCCACATTACTCCTGTGGCCACATGGGCAGATTCTGAACAGACAGTTGATATCACTAACATCCATTCTTGATCAAAAAAATAAAATAAAATAACCTCAGAAAAAATGGGAATTGTGTCCTTACGGGAGCCTCGTGCCCTTATTTTCCTAAGCCAAGTCATCCCAGCACACATTTCTCATATTACTCCTTGAAGGCTGACAGGCTTGGATTTTTTATTTTAAACTTAAATGTGATCATCCATTTTCTGTCTTGCAAACCAAGAATCACGTTGACTACAAGTAAAAAAACCAAGCACCTGTGTCCCTATTCTAAAATCAGGAATGCTCAGAACAGAAATGTGTAGCTTTTGACTTTACTACCTCATCAGCCAAAAGAAAGAGTTTCTCCTCCCAAGCAAAATGTATAACATCTTCAATGCACTGTCTGCTTTGCACCTGACCTATAACGGTAAAGGAAAAGAAAAAAACAGAAAAAAAACACATTAGTAGACAAAAATGAACAGTCTTTTGCTCCAGAATATTAAGACTGCTTGCTAGCTTCTGAATAAGATGTTACTTTTCTTTACAAAAGTAATGCAAATTTGGATTTTCCTTAAAAGACCCTCACAACAAGGAAATAAGGAAAATTAAATAGCAGTATAATAGATTTTGGTACAACCTTCCCAAGCAATGGGTGCCAGTGACTTGAGGAAACTGGTTTCTACTCAAACAAGCAGAATGAGAGGAAACAGGTCAATGTGCTAAGAGCAATGTGTGATTTATTTAGGGACTTGTGACATATTTGGATTTCTCCCCTCCAACTGCCAATTTTATTAGAGACGGGGATCAAAAGCAAGTTTTATGGAGGTCTATTTGAAGCCTTAATATTTATGAACCATTTGATACACTATGGAATGCAGCATTTTTAAGAAGGTTTATACTTGTATTTTTATATTGACATCCACACTAATTTGTCATCTTCAGTCAAAAACATTCTCTACAAGTAACCTGGCAAACATTCAACATCAAACTTAGTTCTATAAGCAAGAAGCTTCCCCCCCTCCTGCCCCCACTGAGCTTAAGTACATTTATGAATTGTATACTAAAACATGCTTGGCCAGATTATGCCTGTGCAAGTTTCCACCTGAAAGATGTGTCACATGAAGGGAACCTTTGCATTTAGCGCTACAATTCAGCTACAAGCATTCTGTAAATCACAAGCATAGTCTGAACATACACAGTGAGGAGAGAGGAAACAAAGTTTTTGACATGCACAAAGGAGTTACAGACCAGTAGGATTTCCTGGATTGATGATGCAAAGAACCTTTGGATTGCAGTATGTTTTAGCTTCATTCAAGGAACGACCAAGTTCATTCACATCTAGTGCCCAGCAATTCTCTTCATCCAGGTAATAGTTCACCTGGATGGCATCTAGTTCAGATATGGCTGCTGAATACAAAGGATACTGTGGGATGGGGATCATCACTCCAGTTCGGGTTTTCCCTCCTCCTGAGACCAGGAGTTTTAGAATAGCCTGGAAAAAATGAAGGAATTAAGAAGAGAAGAGGGGAAAATGAAATCAGAATTAATTATTTGTTCCAGAAGTTATTATTTATCCTCTTTTACTCTCTGTCCTTTACTTTCTGCTGAATTTCAATTACAGAGGTCTTTGAAATAGCCAGAGATGCTTATCAATTACACTGTTAGATCTGAAGGACATACACCATGCAAGTGAAATTACTGGCTGAGTGAGTGAGGCATAACATACAACTCAATTACATTTTTCTTTCTGCCATGTAATTTTTGAAGATTGCATTTAATCCATTCCAAAGTTTCAGGGAAAGAACAGGGCATGGGAAAGTTAAACCCTGTCCCTGTCACTATGACCTGGCACTGGCTTGATCTGGGATTTTCAACAATTTTAGCCTCAAGGCAGCCCTCTATATCTTTTCTGAATTTCATTCTAACTCAGTGATTCTCAACTGGGGTGCCACAAAATTCAGAAAAGGTATGGAGGAGAGCCTTAAGGCTAAAAAAGTTGAGAGCCACTGATCTAAATAATGTCCATTTCATGCTATGAGTTGAGAATTTTTTCTGTCTTCAGTACCAAACAGGTACTCTCACGGAAATGTTGATATGAAACTAGTAATAAAGAGAAGAGCAGCAGCTTAGACAACTCAATAAAATTAGGTTCTGTAGCAGTATCCTGTAAATTTGCTACAGGTTCAGGAACAGGGCCTGCACTTCCATGCCTCTCACCCCCGGCTAGCTTACCATATATAAACAGTGATGTATATGGATGTATATGACCCACCAGTAATATTTCATACTCATTATATTTAAAATGCTGACATATTTTCTCTAAAGATTTTCTAAAACATGTAACAAAGAACAAATGCAACATAGAATGTCCTTTTAACACCAAAAACAACTTCAACCAACAGCTGAGGCTGAAATTCTTTAACTGTAGACTATTACCACTGGCAAATTTTTACAAGTTGTGTTGATCGTCAGCTAACAACCATATCTGGATAATCATGTGCCACCTTTAGATGCACGATATCTGAAAATTTTCATGTTCCTGTCAAGATGCCAATGCAGCCTTTAGATCATACATGCTAGGGATCATAAATCCATTACACTGGATTAATCAAAAATCTTGCAAATCAAAGAGTACTGTAATATCAAACTATGCCACAAGACGTTATTTTAAATAATTTTTGCCCACTAACGGAAAAAGCTTGCTGAAAAAAAAATTGCTTTAGGGTATGTACAGAAGTTGCTTTTTCGCTATTTAAAGTGGTTTATTGCTGTGACTTAACAGAAGTGCATGGCTTTAAAGCACTTTAAAAATAGGTACAGCACTTTAAATAAATCCTTGTATACACACCCCTATAGTAGCAGAACATGAACCCCATTTCAGACAGGATGCCAAGGAATGACTGTCTTCAGCAAACCAAAACCAAACCCAAACCCACACACCACAACTGTATTGGAAACTTTGGGGATACTTTAAAATGGTGGCTTAAAACAAAAGGAGCTTGCTATTGAAGGTAATTTCCACTGCTAATTTCCACTGACAGTACAAGTGGTTTGTGTTCAGAACAGTGACTCTCAACCAGGATGTTGTGAGATCCTTTGAGGGATGATGTGCGGTGTCATGCAATATGTGCTAACACCTACATGTAATTCATAAGAGAAACCCAGAGATTTCAAATAGGAATCCACAGTATCCAGAACATTCTCACCCACCATGGTCTCTCTGAGTTTTCTGAAACAGAAGAATTGGTCTATTATTTACCTGTAGTCAAAAAATGAGTACAATTAAATTTTGGAAATGGGGTGTTA